GCGCGCCGTTCAGCAGCTTAAGGCCATGAGCAGCTTCATTTCAGGTATTATGACTTGTATGCGTGGTCGGAATTGAATTTCGGGAAGTTCGGAGTTGATTTGGGAAGAAAATTCTCATTTCAGAAGCCTTAAGTTGAAAGAATTAGCTAAGATCGGAACTTTGAGTAAACGACCTCAGAATCAGGGTTTGAAGGTTCCAGCAAGTTTGTATGACGATTTCGGACTTGGGCATATGCCCGAATCGGGTTTGGATAACCCGGGAGCGTTTTGGCGCCTATTGTGGAAGTTAGCATTTTGGAAGAAATTTCATAAGTTTGGGTTGAAGAGCATTTCAGTGGTATCGATATCCGTTTGGGATTCCGAGTCTGGGAGTAGCTCCGTATGGTGGTTCTGGAGTTGGGAGCGCGATCGGAAGTGAATTCGGAGGTCCGTAGGTCATTTTGGAGTCATTTGGCTAAAGACAGAAATTTGAAGGTTTTGAGAAGTTTGACCGGAAGTGGACTTTTTGATATAGGGGTCGGAATCCAATTCCGGAGGTTGGAGTAGGCCCGTAATGCCAAATATGACTTGTGTGCAAAATTTGGGGTCAATCGGACGTGATTTGATAGGTTTAAACATCGAGAGTAGAAGTTTGAAGTTCTAAAGTTCATAAAGCTTGGACTAGAGGTCAATTCGTTGTTTTAGCGTTGTTTGATGTGATTTGAGGCCTCGAGCAAGTCTGTAATGTATTTTGGGACTGGTAGGCATGATCGGTTGGGGTCCCGGGGGCCTCGGGTGGATTCCGGGTGGTTAACGGATCGAAAATGGGATTTTGGAAAAGGCTGAAGTTGCTGGTATCTGGTATGACCGCACCTGCGAGGGCTTAGCCGCAGGTGCGGAGCCGTAGAAGTGGCTAGGGCGGCGCAGATGCGGTTATGGGGTCAGGAGTGAAGAGACCGCATATGCGGTCGTGGGGCCTCAGATGCGGGACCGCACCTGCGGTGGACGAGGTGCAGAAGCAGAAGGGAGGCCTGGTGAGCATAACTGCAGAAGCAGAAGGTTGGCCCGCACCTGCGGAACCGCAGAAGCGGTCATAGGACCGCAGGTGCGGAAAGTGGTGGAGGCAGAAGGGGTGTTTTAAAAATCGGGTTTCGGCCATTGCTCTCATATTTTCTTGGCTTGGGCGATTTTTGGGAGAGCTTCAAGTGGGATTTTTCATCATCAACGATAAGGTAAGCTAATCCCATCCATCTTAAGTTAAATACATCGATTATGTATAGATTTTTGGCATGTAAATTGGTAGAAATTTGGGGTTTTGGTAGAAAGACCTAGAAATTCATATTCTTAGAATTTGACCACGATTTTGGGTATGGAATTAAGAGGAAATTATATATTTGAGTTCCTGAGGCTATGGGTAAACTTATTCTTCGAAAATTTTGGAAATCCGGGCACGTGGGCCCGAGGACGTTTTTGTCAACCTTTCGATCGTGGTTTGGAATTGTTATAAATTGGATTAATATGAGCAGTTTATTGTATATTAATGAATTTGCATAATCATTGGCTAGTTTTGGGAGTATTTAGCATCGATTCAAGTCTTCGGAAGGGCGTGGAATGCCGGTTATGGATCTTCGGAGCGAGGTGAGTCTCCTTTCTAACCTTGTAAGAGGGAATTGTCCCCATAGGTGAGTTAATTGGTTATGTGCTCCTATTTGTGGGGGCTACGTACGCACGAGGTGACGAGAGTCCGTGCGTAGCTACTATTATGTTATTGTCCTGGTAGTCTAGGACCCAAACGCATGTTGTACTTGGAATAATTGTAATGTTGGTTACAGTTGAAATGCTTAATCCTGTCGAACTGGTAAATGAATTTCTAAAAGGATTAAAATTCTTTTTCTGAAATCGTTAAAAAGAGAATTGGCTTTTATTTGGACAAATTTTCCTCGATAATTCTAAATCTGTTGTTTGAGCATGTATTTCTATGTGTACCTGCGTCGCATGTAAGGTTCGCGAGCAGGATGATTGCTTAATTAAATTTGACCGTGTCACATGTATGGTTCGCGAGCGGGGTAATAGATGCATCTATGGTTCGTGCCGTTCGACCCTCGACAATGCACAGTTTAAATATTGTTGGACGGGCTGTACGTCTTCGGCATGAGTTGCGCATGCTTGTATTGCTTGCTATGAAAGTTGTTGATACTAATACCTGCTTTCCTCGACTTGAGATAATTGTCAATTAAGGGATTATGAATCTGGAGATTTTAATTAAAAAGGAATTTTCACCTGTTTAGTGACTCATTTGAATTTTACCGTTGTTCTTAATGGATCTGTGGGTCATCACATTAATAATATTATTACTGGACCTTTAGTAAGTGTTGAAGTTGCCATCTCGTCTCTACTTCTTCGAGATTAGGCGGGATACTTACTGAGTACACATTGTTTATGTACTCATACTACACTTCTGTGCATTTTTGTTACACAGGCACTTGTACTACTAGTGGCCTACTGGGCGTAGCAGCACGGATGATACTGGGACTAGGTGAGTTGCATTACTCGAGGCGGCCCGCAGCTAGTATAGTCCCTTCCAGAATATTGTATTTACTTTCTGTCCATTTGTATTCCGGACGGATGTTGTATTGTATTGTTTCTTAGAAATAGCTCATGCACTTGTGACACCGGGTTCTGGGGATGTCTATGGGTTTATTCAGAAATGTAAAATTGTTAAATATTTCATCATTTATTTAGTGGAATTCATCACGTATTGTTTAAACGCATAAAAGAAGTGATTTCAAAAAATATTTAAACGGGAAGTTACTAGTTATTTGTTGTTGGCTTGCCTGACAGTGGAGTCCGGCGCCATCACGACTCTTAGTGGTTTTGGATCGTGACAGAACAGGTCCCTGCCAGTTCCCGAGGTGACTGTACAAGTCAACTCCCCCAACTGTAATGTCGCTGCATGTACATGCTACAATGCGAAAATAGTGCAGCAGTTAACTTTATGGGGAATGCCATTCACCTAACATGCTTGCATCATCCAAGTGATATCACAAATGAGATATTAACATCAAGCAAAGGTAAAAGAAATCACTTGCACATTCAAGAACTAATCAAGCATTCTCTCAAGTGTGTGTCCATCTTGCAAGTGATTCTCAAGGGCATCAAGAACAAAGAACAACATAGCAACGGACCAGTTCCCTATATTGAGTTATTATATGTCCTTAGTTGTGTTGTATCTTTGTTGAAGTTCTTACTTGTAATTCCTACTTAGCTTAGTTAGAAGCACTGTGTAGGAAACCATTTGTAAATCATAAACCCTTGTGTTTGTGTCTTGGCTAGAGTTAGTCGAGTTGTGAAGTCTTTGTAATAGAGTTATTACAAAGTGGCTTGTAATAGTGTTGTTACAAGTTAGTGAGTGATTAAGTTTTTGTAATAGAGTTATTACAAAGTGGCTTGTAATAGTATAGTTACAGGTTAGTGAGGGATTAAGAGGTTAATTCCTAGGTTACAATCGGTTGTAATCTAAAGATTGCTCAGTAGTGAAGTTGAAATCCTACAAGGGTAGGTCGTGGTTTTTAATCCCGTTGAGCTGGGAATTTTTCACATAAAATTTCTTTGTGTCATTTACTTACTGCAGTGTGCGTGTGTTCTGTTGAGCCTGATGGAGAACCTGGTTCTCTATAGAGTTTGGTGGACCCTTAAATTCTATCAGAGTGGAAAGGTAAACTTTGTATTTTTTTTTTTCAAAAGTCAACTTCTTACAATAGATTTTCTCAGAATCAATCTCACCGCACCTCTTTCCTCTCTCTCCTTTTCTATTTATAGGGGATGTTCTACTCTTCACTACTCGACCTCGGCTTCAACGGCTTGCTCAGCGAATGCTCGTTGTCAGTCTTCAGTCAACCTCGACTTGGCCGCCCTAATAGAAACACAGTCTTCTCACTTAACGACCTTCCCACGCAATTACATTACAATCGCTTGACCAAGTAAGAGAATAAAGTTCAGAGAATACTATTGGAGAAAAGGAAAAATTTCTTGTTCTACCACTTGATAGGCTTTCAAGTTTTGTAAGGAACCACCCACTGAGTTGATTTCTGTGATTCTGTCTGGAAATCCAATGTTGCTATCGAGGTCCAGCCACAATTATTTTTAGCATGTGCTTCTTCCGTGATCTTCTTTTAAGCAAAGCAAACTACAAATATCTACTTCTCTATGCCAAGATAACAAAAATAAAATAATCAAAGAAACATAGTAAAGTAGTGTATATTATTAAGTTTCAAAAAATCATATTCCAAATACTTCATTAGTATCGAGTATGGAGAAGTCGAGAACTTATATCTCCATCTGCTTTTAAAGGTGAGTAAAAGGTTTGGTGCGTAAACGATTGATCATAAAACTAAGATATCAAAGGATTTGCTTACAAGCTAATTGAGAATACGTGAAAAGGTGCACCGCCACATATCCTTCCACAATTTCTTCTCCTTTCTCTCATGGAAAATATTCTAGTAAAAGAATTTTTGAAGAAGATTCTATTACGAAACGTTGGAAAAGATAATGCAACAAGATATGATTATAGATTATGAACTTTTGTAGATTTATTCGTATTATTGATATGTGATTGAGCTATTTGACTGATGAACATTTGATGTTGTGATAAATTGTGAATAACTTGTGCGGTGTCTAATGTTGAAAATTATACGATATATTTACTACATGAAAATTGTAGTAAACGGGAAATGCTATTCAAGTAATAAGAAATTTTATACAGAGCTTAAAATTTTCTTCTACTTTAAGACAAACAACCATGGTAAAGTTGTGCAAATTATATTCATTTCCAACGACTTTTTTATAAAAAAAACTCTAAAGAATTAGCCACTTGCCACCTGAAGTCTGAAGATTTAGGAAGCAAGGCGACGCTGGATTTGTTCCCCCTTTTTGTTAATAAATGTGAAAAAATATCTAGCCGCTGGATCGGACTTTGAGACACGTGGCATGATCTCGAACAGGTCTGTTAAGGGCTGACATTGACCAGAAGTATACGGACCCCGTAAATATGACAAAACCCCGCCCCCGCCTCTCCCTTGCCGCAGCTTAAGCTTTTTTCAACTCAATAATGACGGCTTCTTTCATGCTCAGATCTTCTTTCCTCTCCCCTCCTTGTCCCCAACTCCATCACCAATCCCCTTCCAAATCTAATCACAGTATTCACTTCATCAATCCAATCAAAGCCACCGCCTCTACGAACGATGCAATTATCCCTCCCCAAAAGCATCGCCGCCCCGCCGACGAGAACATCCGCGAAGAGGCGGCACGCCGCCCCAGCTCCTCCCACAATTTCTCCGCTAGGTACGTTCCTTTCAATGCCGATCCCAGCTCCGACGAATGGTATTCTCTCGATGAAATTATATACCGGAGCCGCTCCGGTGGCTTACTTGATGTTCAGCATGATATGGACGCTCTAAAGAAATTTGATGGCCAGTATTGGCGGTCACTTTTTGATTCACGTGTCGGTAAGACCACGTGGCCTTACGGTTCAGGTGTTTGGTCTAAAAAGGAATGGGTCCTACCTGAAATTGATAGTGACGATATTGTTAGTGCTTTTGAAGGTAACTCTAATCTGTTTTGGGCTGAGCGTTTTGGCAAACAGTTTCTAGCCATGAGTGATTTATGGGTAAAACACTGTGGAATTAGCCATACAGGTAGTTTTAAGGATTTAGGTATGACCGTTTTGGTGAGTCAAGTGAACCGGTTAAGGAAAATGCATAAACCGGTTGTAGGTGTGGGCTGTGCTTCCACTGGTGACACGTCAGCTGCATTGTCAGCTTACTGTGCATCTGCGGGGATTCCATCGATTGTGTTTTTACCAGCAAATAAGATATCTATGGCGCAGCTGGTACAACCAATAGCTAACGGAGCTTTTGTGTTGAGTATTGACACTGATTTTGATGGTTGTATGCAGTTGATTCGCGAAGTCACTGCAGAGTTGCCTATTTACTTGGCGAATTCGTTGAATAGTTTGAGGTTAGAAGGGCAAAAGACTGCAGCAATTGAGATTTTGCAGCAATTTGATTGGCAAGTACCCGATTGGGTGATAGTACCTGGAGGGAACTTGGGTAATATATATGCTTTCTATAAAGGTTTTATGATGTGCAAAGAGTTGGGGCTAGTTGACCGTATCCCTAGGCTTGTGTGTGCTCAAGCAGCTAATGCTAATCCGCTTTACTTGCATTATAAATCCGGTTGGAAAGACTTTCAACCCGTGAAGGCGAACACCACATTTGCATCTGCTATACAGATTGGTGATCCAGTGTCTATAGATAGAGCTGTTTTTGCCCTGAAGAACTGTAACGGGATAGTGGAGGAGGCAACGGAGGAGGAGTTGATGGATGCTATGGCTCAGGCAGACTCGACTGGGATGTTCATTTGCCCGCACACTGGTGTGGCATTGACTGCCCTGTTCAAGTTGAGAAACAGTGGAGTTATAGGACCAAATGACAAGACTGTGGTTGTGAGTACAGCACATGGATTGAAGTTTACTCAATCAAAGATTGATTACCACTCAAAGGAAATAAAGGACATGGAATGTCGGTTTGCTAACCCACCTGTGGAAGTGAAGGCAGATTTTGGATCAGTCATGGATGTTCTCAAGAAATATTTGTTGAGCAAAAATGCCAAGCACTGATTTCTTTCTCAGTTATAACAGGGTAAGTTTGTATTATGTACTTCTATTGTCAGCATTTGGTTCTTCGTCGTCATTAAGTTGCCATGTAGAAATGACCTGATGGTGATTTGTTTGTTGGCAGAGTTGGGGGGAGAAAAGCTCTAAATTTCCTTTGGGACTACTATGAATTTAAGTTATTTTATGGAACTCTTTTTTGTGGAATAGTCTGCTATTTGAATGTTATTTTAGCATTGGCATTGCTTTGGAGCATCGCAATAAAGCTCAGTTTTTTCCATAATGTTATAATGACTATCTTAGGTAATCAAAAACCGTTTCTATTATATAAACTGAGTAAGCACTGTTTTTCAGTACCTTCAAAGTGTTTTTAGACCTATTGTTCAGTATAGAGAACAGGAAAGCAGGAGATGTAAAACCCTCCGATGATATAACTTGTCTTTTGAAGTTCTTGTATTTCCATCACTAAGTGCTTATAATAAAAGGCAGACCTTTCTCTCACAAGGAAATCATGTTTCTCTTAAAAGTCATTTGCCATGCTGAATAAGATATTGCCACCTTAAAGAGGATTCACTTTGGATACTGCTGGTAGAAACTGATCTCTTATCCGGTTGATATTTCCTGTCTCTTTTACGTGTATATTCTTGCCATGCCCGGAAAGCACTTGTTTGGGAATAGTTAGTAACACCATAAAATCTGAAATCTTGAACCGACACCGGTATTATCATTCACAAAACTCAATAGGATCTGTAACGTATTGAATGTCGTGAGTGTGGGACTGTATTGTCAGCTAATAATAGGATTTTTTGAACAGCAAATCTGGATTAGATTGCATTTATCTTTTCTTCATCTGTCTTGAGATAACTTATTTAATGTTGTCTCAAAGTATGTAACCGTTTCTCGAAATCAATGTGGATTTAGCTTAGATCATGTCAAATGGGAAATAAAGAATCTAAATAGGCTTAGTTGATTTCTTCTCATATGTTCAAGCCTGCGTAGACTGAGTTACCTCGCACCTGTTGTTGGTGGGAGGTAGCAGGTATCTCGTGGAATTAGTTAATGTTTACATAAGCTGGCCCCGAGACCATGGTTATTAAAAAAAACCTATATTTAGTATGATGTTTGTCAAGTGTCTTCTCTTTCTAGTTAGAGACTTGATTTACCGTGTAGGAATAAATGAGATTTACAGCTCCTCTACTCTGAGGGAGCTCCTAATTTGTATTAAAAGACAATTTATTTATTATTTGAATGAAATGGACCTTAAATTAGCAGAATTGATATAGTAGATTCATATAGCAAATTTAGGTACAGTTAATTGATTGACACACTTAAAAGGTTAATCTGTTTCTTGCTTAAGTAGTATTACACTGGACCCCAAGTTAAATTGGATATGACAAAATCCAATCTTGAAATATCTACTCTGAAATCCGTATTTCTAGTGGTGATGCTTTCCATAAGTTAAATGATATAACTAAACCAATTTGACATTCATGGGGTACTATGCAGTAGGCCAGCTATTCTTATGCATTGTTACATTCTATCATAATTTGTTCTGAAGCGATCCTCGTGAATGATTGAGGCCTATTTTCCTTTCCCTTCTAATCCAGTTCAGATGATGGTGGACTATTTGGTAAGATCAGTCTAACCACTATGCTTTGTTTGCAAGTTTTACTGGATATTGCAAATTACAATTGCTTGGATGAAGAATGTGTACTTGATGAAATTTTAGGGTTGCGAATTGGAGTATAGACTAAAAGTGCAGGCTGACAAAGAAGAAGATGAGGTGAAGGGTAAGCATTCAAATTCCAGCATGACTTTTTGTGTGAGTAAAGTACCTGATGTTCTAGCGCCGAGCTATAGACCCAGCATTTTTTATCCTTCGACTTCCAGTTGCTTAAGAATTGAGGGGCTTAATTATCTGCAGCTCACGCTGGAAGCTTGAAGTAGCTTTTTAGTTTGCTTTCATTCCTACACATATCTAATCCAATAGTTGTTGGAGTAAAATATTTCTGTTATTTTGCTTTTCAAAGCATCGCCATTGAGAATGGAAGTGTAATTACTCTTTAGTGTCAAATGATTGCTGCTTTGCCATCATTTGGATAAAGGATAACCAAAAAGAGCAGCAGAGCTTTTAGATTTCAGGTTTTTTTTTTTTTTTTTTTTTTTTAAATCTAGGGATAGCTCCTCGAAAGTTGCTGTTGTACATTACTCCCTCCGGTCCACAATAAGTGACCAATTTGCTTTTTTATTTTGGTCGAAAATAAGTGTCCATTTATATAATCAAGAAAAAATTCAATTTGTTTTTCCAAAATTACCCTTATGTACGTATCCCTAAATAGTCATTTACTCCTCACATTTGAGAAGAAAAGTAAGTACTACTCCTTCCGTTTCAATATATGCGAACCTGTTTGACTGGGCACGAAGTTTAAGAAAAAAATGAAGACTTTTGGAATTTGTGGTCCTAAACAAGTCGAAAGGGGCCCCAGAATATTTGTGTGGTTATAAAAGCTTCTCATTAAGGGTAAAATTGTAAGTTTAAGCTAAATTGTTACCAAATTTAGAAAGGGGTTATTCTTTTTGGGACGGACCAAAAAGGAAATAGGTTCACATAAATTGGAACAGAGGGAGTATAACTATGGTGCATCATTTGATGAAGGGCAGTTTAGTCACACTAACTATTTTCGTCTAGAATTTGGTATTTCTTTAATGGGGGTGCCCAAAGCAAATTGGTCACTTATTGTGGACCGAAGTAAAGGGACCATTTGGCTTAGCATAAATGCAGATGTCAACTCTCTACTGAGAAAAATATCAATTGCTAGCTGAAGACCACAAAGATATTCAACCCAAGGGTGTGGTTTAGTGGTCAATTAAGTGGGTTGAGAACCGTGGGGATTTTTTGTTCAATTTTCAGCAATAGCAAAAAACACTAGCTAGTTTCTTCCCATCTGTCCAAGCCTTCATCGACAAAGTTACTCGGTACCTGTCGTTGGTGGGAGGTAGCAGATATCCTGTAAAATTAGTTTAGATGCACGCAAGCTGGCCCGGACATCACGGTTGCCCTCCAAAACAAACAAAGATCACAAATACATTGGGGTCCGAAGGAAATCGTGGTTGTGCCATAGCCGCTTCTAACTTAAGAGAGTTTCCGTCCAAGTCACAAAGATATCTCTTGGAAACACAATCAGCCTAACGGCACGTTTGACATAATTATCTTGAATATGTAGTACTTCCTTTGACATCTAACAAAAATTTATCTTTGATTTCAATGATTGTTATAGCTGGTTTTACTTCAGTGCTGCAGTGCAGTATTAACGTCTTATTGACAGGCTTTTCATGCAGCGCTCTTCATTTTTCCAGGCGCAATAAGAATTGAATATTGATATCTATCTAATTTTGGAAAAAATGCACAAAAAACAAATTAACTGGTTGTATTGACTTTCATGCACTTTACAAGTTCAGCAAGTGTGCAGGAATGCAAACATCAAATTATTATTCAGGTTTTACTATCTGATTTGGGACGAATGTACAAACGATAAATGTACCACCATTTCTAAATTTACCATCTTTTTCCTACTTCGGTTGTCTCAGATTACATCACCTTTAGCCGAGGGTCTATCGGAAACAGTCTCTCTGCCCTTCCAGGATAGGGGTAAGGCTGCGTACATCCTACCCTCCCCAGACCCCATTTGTAGGATTATTGTTTGAGCAAATAAATGCTAAACTAATTAGTAACAGGATAATGGGGTGAATCTCAGTTGAGCTTAATAAATCCTAGATCAAATAGAACGAAACTCTTGTATAGTGAGAAGAGTTTAAGAGCATTAATTAGTGAGTTCAATATACTAAGATTGACAAAATATGTAATATCAATGTATAATAAATGCAAGAAACGATAATGGTTATAGTGTAAAGGAACTGTCACCCAATGATTGTGATTGGGTGCCTCTTTTCTCTGACGACGTGAAAAGGTATGCAGTTGATATGAATGTGGAATCTTTGAGATTTATGGATGAAGGTTGAATAACATGTGCTTGAATAAAGTGAATATGACAACTCTTTCGTATATTCTTCTCTCCACTTTACAATGTGTTTTAAAAAGGCAGCCCTCCCTTTGGTTCCTTCTCTCTTCCTATTTATAAGGGACATTCCCCAAAAAATCCTAAAAAGTACAACATGGAGAATATCCAAAGGAATATTCTTCCTGTATATTTCTGAGTTTAAGTTACCGTTGCTACTCTATCTCAGCTGCCCGCTTCTAGTCGTCGGTATTTATTTGGACGACCGTCAGTCGCTGTATCGTGGTCGACCCCGTCCTATGTCCTGCTTATCCGTTACCGTGGTTACTAAATTTGGACCTATACAGTTAGTCCCTCCGCGTGTTGAGGTCGTAGCCCTGCACGTCCTTGATAAATGGACATCATTCGTTTCCGTTGTGGGAGGATTTGGCTGTTAGAGTACGCCGGGTTAACCAAGATCGAGAGACAAGATGTGATGTCACTCCCACGTGCGTCATCATTACGCATCTTCCCGAGACAGCGTCTGAATGCTTGTCGCTTTGGTTTTAGCGCCATTGGCAGTCTTCTGCTTCGATTCTCGCGCCATCCAGACCTATAAATAGGTGTGGGTTTCGTTTTTTCAGGAATTTTTCGCAATTTCCTTCCTTGTGCATACATTATCCTCCTTTGATCATCTTTCTCAATTCTTTAGCTCTGTTCCTGTGGTTCTGCTTCCCATCTTCCCATTCAGTCACCGTTCCTTATTTCAGGTTTATTAGCACACCCTTTATTACCATGATGTCCCGAACCTTCCGTACACACGATGAAGTTTCCGATGCCACTCCGTTGTCAGTGGCCCCTCCTTCTGGTGGCGAGGATATTGCAGCTGAGGAAGGTGATAGTTTCCCTACCGTAGAGGAGATACTCCCCAGTGTGAGCACGTGATTTTTGCCCTATATGAATTACTCCCAGATATTCAAACAAAATAATTTCGTTTCATTAGTTGCAATTTTGTGAATTTTTGTAGCGTGTCATGATAATTGTTTGCATGTTTGTTTGTGCATTTTAATTCATAAAAATACAAATAATATATGTTGCATGTGCATTTAGGAGTTATTTTTGCATGGTTTAGTAATTAAGCTTTTATAAAAAGAAAATCACAAAAAATAGTCATTTTACGCCTTTTTCCAATTTGGGTTTTAGTAGTTTTTCTTTAATTTCTTAACTATGGTAATTAATTTGCAATAAATAATTTGAGTAAAAATCAATTTAGGTCTATTTTTAGTTTATTCTTAAAAGAAACTAAAAAAAAGAGAAAAGAAGAAGAAAGAGTTAATTTGAAAAGAATAGAAAATAAGAAGAAGGGATTCAGCTGGGCCAAGTAATTTCAAGCCCAAACAAATGAGCAAATACCCGTCCCAGACCAGGCCCAAAATCACGTCTCAACCCGGCCTGCCCCCCCCCCCCTTTAAGTGAGACGACGTCGTTTCGTCAACGTTAGATCTGGGCCGTCGATGCTAAGTGATCTAACGGCTCGGAACTCGGGTGTCCTAGATATAAATACTGTCCAAACTTTACCCCCCCCCCCCAAGTCCGTCTCCCTCACTCCCCCCACAACCCTTTCTCAGAGACCATCGCCCTCCGCCGTAAGCCGCCGGCCGGAAATCGCCTCCGCCGCCGGCGATGCTCCAAATCACCCCAAATTTACACCCCATGCTCCTCTCCTTCTCCCCTTTTCATATCCGTGGCCATTTTCCCTCAAATCACAACCAAACCCTTCGAATCTTGATTTGAAACTCCGGCCAAAAACCCTACCTCTTCCAAATCCGACCAAACTTATACCCTACAATCTCCTTGACCTCCTCATCTCGAAACCCAGACCAAAACCTTTCAAATCTAAGTAAAACCCCATGAATTTCAGATCTAGGGTTCGAGGTTTCAGCCTGTCTTAGGAGTTTCAAGGGTTCGATTGATTTTAAATTAATGTTATATGTCTATTTCGGACGAAATAGACATGCAACATTAATTGAAAATCAAAGTTCGAGGTCAGCCCAGTTGAAGACCTAAAACCAGTGAGTTCCTCGATTTTTTTTTCTTTTTTTTTTCTTTTTCTAGTGTTAATTTCTCTTCCATGACTGTTTGGTTTCTTGATTAATTGATTTGGATTGTTGTTTTGTTTGGGGTCAGTAGTCGAGTTTATTTTTCTCCGTTTTTAGTCGTTCGTTTCATTTTGTTTTGAATTCTAATAATCAGTAGCAAGAATTTGTTCTTTTAGTTGATTAATCTGTTTCAATTCGGTTTCATACTGATTTTTGTGGTTGTTAATTGATTAGTTATTTGATTGTTAATAAATGTTAATCCGAGAATCAGTAGTTATCTGAATTTAAGATTTGTGATTGGATTTGTTAGCTGAGTAATTTGCAGAATAGTTAACGTGGACCATGGTTAGTTCGAAGGTTTAGGTTAAGTTAACGTAGGTTAATAATTTCAAGGCTAAGGCAGGGGCAATAAGGGTAGTCTGCTTAGGGAATGTTGTGGTAACAACTGAACAGAAACCCCTAGAATCTTCTAGATGGGGTTCAAAGTTAGAATTCCAGGAAAGTTAGTAGTAAAACTTGAGAAACAAGTCAGAAAATAGATGACTAAGTGATTAAAACTGGAATTTAAAAGAGGGACTAAAATGTAAAGTTGAAAATCTGAATTTCCGTTAGCTTTAGCCTATAAAGGCAGTCACTAGTGCTTCATTCACAAGTTTTGGACATCTGAAAATCCCCAAAGTTTCTAGAAGTTTCAACTCTAGAATTTCCCCCCAAAATAGTCGCTCTACAAGTTTCAGGGATCTGAAATTTGAATTTCAAATCCAAATCCTAGATCTAGTTCTTAAAAAAA